TTGTATGGAAGTTGAAAATTAAGTGTCTATCTTAATATAAGAGATAAAATGAGAGAACAGGTAAACTCCCAAAGGAAGTTACAAATAAATTCTTTCATTTGTACGCCTTCCTAGGCCCCCACGTCAATCATATACTTTTTCTCATTCTTTAGGGAAATAATAGGTACGTATTTGATAGAGGCCATTAATGACTCGAATAAATACCAGAGAAGAAATTGAGAAAAGGATAGTGGACATGAAGAGAAAGCGATAAGCTGGGAAAACAGTAAAAGACAGAGAAACCATATCAAGTATTTGAAAACAGGTCGGAAAGAGTAACTGATCTCATGTTTCTTTTTTGTTCCCATAAGAAAAATAAGGAGTTTCAGCAAAAATAAACCAAAGTTGCTAGTATTGAAAAATAAACTGGCGAAATAAACAAATAAAATATAATAATAATAATAATAACCATGACAGGTCTATTCAGAACCTAGATGCATGATGACTTTAATGAGCAAGTAGAGGAATAAGAAGCCAATCAAACTAATATAATGAAAAACCTGAGGAGCCTGCTGCTCTGAATTATGAGATGCATCAACACCAGACAAGGATCCAACCCCAGTAATAGCACTGCTCGTTACGCTCCCATCTTCCAATTTGGGTTGTTTCAGAGGTGTTTCCAATTTAGGCTGTTTAAGAGAGGCTTCCACTTTAGGTTTTTTAAGAGGGGTTTCAAATGAGTCACCAGTTATTCCTGCCTGTTCCCTCAATGCCAAGTTTGAATATGCTGTACTTCTAGTGACTTGAGCTGCATCATGACTTAAGTTATTGAAGCTTGGATTAGACATGCCGGCTTCTCTAGAAAATGCCTCTAACCCACCAATTGAACCCGAAGATTGTGATGACCCAACCTGCATAAATAGCAGGCATTGGAAACTTCAGAAGGAAGAAAACAAAGAAAACAACAGTATATCCTTCAGGAAAAATATAAATAATTCATATGATCGTTGAGAAAATCATGACCATGCGGCTTACAATTGAACAATCAATTGATTGGATAGTGATGAAGAGAAAGGAGATACAAGTCATTAATTGAATTGTAAAGTGGGACCCACTTCCCACCACCACCATCCAACCATCCGTTCAAGCTATGGTGCATACTCCGTTTTTAGATAGTCATGGAAACCCAATGTCACCCTCAGGAAATGTATTCAATGAGAAGAAATTGATTTCCTCAACTTTTCCTTCACTTCAGCCAAAACTCCATAGCACATTTCAAAAATCATTCCAAGATACCGTCTTCATACAGAACCTTATCTTGTCTCTAGAACTGCAAATGCCATCTAGTCACTTAACTTGGCCCAGTCTGGCTGATATGCAAAGAGTCCTACACATCCTTCTCCACTTTTTATAATTACCTTGCAGACACGAATACAAGCTTATTTCTCGGACAACCCTGGCCCAAGCTCACCAACATACCAACATTGTTAATCAACTTATATCTGGGCTTGGTTAATCTCAGCAAAATCTTCAGAGGTACCAATGTATTTTACGTATCCCCATACTCCACTGTAAATTACTCAACTATGGGTATTATTTTTTACCAAGGGCACTTCGAAAATTATTCCTAAAGCCATTGGTAATATGCATTGGGTTGCCATGCATTTATTGTGCTTACATCAATCCTAAACGGCAATAAATGTTATTTTTTGCCTAGGGGCACTTCGAAAATAATTCCTAAAGCCATTGGTAATATGCATTGGGTTGCTATACATTTATTGTGCTTATATCAACCCTAAAGGGCAATAAATGTGAGGCAACCTCGATTATTCATGCTGTTAGAGCGAAGACTTTCTTGCTCAATTATTCCTTTGGTTCGATTAGTCGAGTTTCTTGCTTGATTCTTTCTTTCTTGGGCTCCCTCGATTCTCTCTTCCTCTGATTCGATTCGATAGTCAAGCTACATGAACTATAATAAGGCTAAGATATATGCGAGCGAGATGAAAGACGGACACCAATGATTAAGTGAAGCATTCATTCCTATACTCATAATGCATGCAAACTTCCAATGGCATGTAACCAAAACCACCCTCATCCACAAGTAATTTACAATCAAGGATGGGTCAGCCGATTTCTATATTTTTGGTCATCACAAGTTACCAAATAGAAATAGGTTAGTAAATTCCCATATGTATATATTCTTCAACTATGTATCCTCATGGATGTGCAAAAGAGAGAGAGAGAGCGAGAGAGAGAGAGAGAGAGAGAGGAGGAGGAGAGAGAGAGAGAGAGAGAGAGAGAGAGAGAGACGACGAC